AGAGGTGTGGTCAGTGTGGAGGAGCAGCCCAGCCTGCATCAGCAGATGGATAAACCGAACATGGCAGACCATGAGGGAGAATGCTGGTCCTCACGGACATTGTGCTCAGCGCAGGAAGCCGGTCGCCAAGGGCAGGTCTTGGCAGGAGTCACTCACAGGAGGCCCAGAGGCATCCACAGAGAGAAGGATGGTTCTGGGCTGGGTCATGTCTAGTGGGCAGAGATGAGGAAGCCCTGGAGGAGGGCAGTGCTGCTGGCTGCACATGGTGTGGACAGGCTCATGCCCTGACTGTGAGTTTAAACATAGCTAAGATGGAACATTGTAGGTTATGTGTCATTCACCACAATTAACACAAAAGGGAAGAAACGTTTTTGAGTCCAAAAAGGAAAGGTTAAGCCCTTCCTACCACTGGTCACCACCACAGTGGCTCCATAGCTTGGTGAGTCCATCAGAGGGTTGGGAATCATGTGGCATGCAGGTTATCCTCTGTGCCTGGCTTGACCATCCCTCTGCTGGGGCCATCCTGGCCTTCCTGGGCTGGGCTCACTCTTTGGGTTGTGCAGGAGTGATGCCAAAGCGTTCCGTTTTGCAGACCCTTGGAAGTTCTCTTTCCCTTCTGCGTTTAGAGGGTCACATGTCCACTCAGATCTGGGTCGCACCTGCTCTGCTGTTGCCAGCCGCAGCAGCAGCCCATCCCTGTGTGCCTAGCACAGAGCTGGTGGCTGACATATGAAGGGGTGGTCCACATCTGGGCAGCACCCGCTCTGGGCCAGCTGGTGGACGCAGATCTTGCAGGGCACCCTGGCACAGGGTCAGTGGGACCATGTGGTGCAGCCCGTGGTGTCTGCAGTGCCAAGCATGGCCCTGTGTGTGAAAGGAGCCTGGGATGGGCCCTGACGCAGGAGAGCCCACGCCTGGCCCACGTGACCACACTGTTTTGAAGACTAGAACAGGCTTGTTTTTAATGTAACAGCAGTCGTGGGTCACAACAGTTAAGAGCAGCTGGAGTGCAGGGGACACTGCTCCTGCGAATGTTCAGCAGGAGTGTGCATCCTGTGAAACGAGTTACTCTGTTTCCTTCTAGGCCGAATGTTCATATTTTATGGTAACAAGACCTCCACACAGTTCTTAAACTTCACTCCAACGCTGATCTGTGCAGATGACCTACAGGCTAATATCCTTGGCTCTGCCCCTGGATAGATGGACAGACACGGGTAGACTGTGACCCAGGACATGGTGGGAGGCAGTGTGACGAGAGGGGCAGGGTCTCTGAGGTGCCGTGCAGTCCGGTGCTGCCTCTCTCTGGGAGTGGGCTTTGGTGCCGGCTCCTCTGAGGTGCACACACGTGTCGCCTTCCCTTGGCAGCGTGAGTCGCTTCCTCTCCGCTCCTTTTGTCCTCCCAGACGCTATTCATTACTTGGGAGCCCCAGGGCTCCATGTCTGGGGCAGTCCGCAGGGGTGGCTGCTTTTGCTGAAAGTGGGGAGCATGTGGTTGGGGTAGGTGGATGTTCGTTGCGTTCACCCACTAGTCTAGTGTGTGAGGTGCATGAGAGGCCCCAGCTCAGCAGGGAGGAACATCCCTGTCCCGGCAGGGGTCGCTTCCCTGGGACAGCTGTGCTGTGCATGTGAGGACTCTGGGCTCACGGTCACCGGTGCGGAGCAGTGAGCTCCTGACAGGCACATCTGTGTCCACACCACGCTTCCACACAGACCATGAGAGAGCAGGCAGATGTTCACGTTCAGGTCACATGTTAAAGGCTCCGTCCACAATTGGGCCTAAGTTTGCCACCTGCCAGTCTCCTCTGAGCATCCTTTACCTGGGCCTCTGGGAATGTGGGTACCCAGGGCCCTGCACTCCGCAGCTCATAGGCTCTGGGTCCAGAGGGCAGAGAAGCTGTCCCCTGCCCACCTACAGGTCCAACCTTCATTGTGTAGATTTTTTCTTTTTTAGACCTGTTCTGTTCTTTTTTCTCCCCTTCCCCTTCCCCTTCCTTTTCTGACAAGGTTTGGCTGTGTAGGTTCAGGGTGGCCTTGCACTCACTGTGTAGCCCAGGCTGGCCTTGGACTCGTGATCCTCCTGGCTCAGCCTCCTGAGTGCTGGGATGACAGGTGTGTACCACTCACCCTGCTGCCACGGGTCATTTTTCAGGAGTGGCTATGGAAAGCCCTGTACTGCATGTACACGGCCGGCAGGCGCAACCTCCCCACAGAGGCTCGGCGCCCTGGAAGCGTCTGTCAGTTGTTTACTGAGGCCGTGAGTGGGGGCTTCTCTCAGGCCACAGTGGCCAGCACGCTAAGGCCCCTGGGAAGCCAGGCAGTCAGCTGGATCAGGTGTGATGCCCATGGGCTGTGGGACAGGGAGCAGGGAGCCAAGGGAGAGGGCTGCTGTGTGTGGCTGTCAGCAGGGCACGGTTGGACGTATGCTGCCTCGTTGCAGCTTCTGCCGTCTCACCCTCCTGGCAGAGCTAGACTCCTTAACGCAGCCACATCTGAACCTGCAGACCAAGCCTGTGGACCCAACCGTGGACGGGGGTGCGCAGGTGCAGCAGGTGGTCAACATCGAGTGTGTGTCTGACTTCACAGAGGCGCCGGTCCTCAACATCCAGTTCAGGTGAGACTCCCGGGGCCGAGCTGGATTGTGGTGGAGCCTTGCACACCTGTGGCATGGGTTTCTGTGGCCCATGGTGCTCAGAGAGTGAGGCAGGAGGGGGTGTGGCCCTGAGTATGCTGCAGCCCACAGGGCCTTAGGTGCTGCTGTGTGGTTGGTGAGCTGCGTGCTTTAGGCTGGGGTGGACGCCTGGTCCTGTGTGGCCCTTGAGGGCAGACCCGTTGGACCTGGCTGGGACATCAACATAGCCCCCTCTCCCCTCAGCACCTCCTGTGACAATGGGGACGGCAGTATAGATGTCGGGCACTGTGTGGCAGAAGGGTTTGGAGAAGCATTGTCAGGTGTTAGGACAGCAGACTTAGCAAATACTTCCTTCAGGCTTTTTGTCGGGGAAGAAACCCACATAAGTTTTAGACTTGGTGCCCGGAAACTGACCAATGGGAACGGGAGGTGGTGGTGGGAGATCCGGCGCCCTGCCGACCTGTGTGGCCTTCGTCCGTGGTGGGGAGCCTTGTGAGGAGAAGCACTTGTCCCCCCACTGCTGGCATAGTGCTGTGGCCTCGGCTTTGCCTGCCTGCGACTGCCCTTAGTGGGGTGGGCTGCATGGAGGGCACGTCTGTTCCCCTGGACACTTCCAACTCTGTGCACAGGACAGGCATCCTGGCTCACAGTGGGACACCTCATGGGAGCTGCCTGCCCCCTGCGGGGTCCCTGGCTGCCCTTCACTCTGCCAACGTGGTGCTCTCTGTAGGTATGGCGGCACCTTCCAGAATGTGTCTGTTAAGCTACCCATCACATTGAACAAGTTCTTCCAGCCCACAGAGATGGCGTCTCAGGACTTCTTCCAGCGCTGGAAGCAGCTGAGCAAGTGAGGGCTGCACAGGCGGTGGGGAGCAGGTGCTGCAGGGCAGGGTGGTGGTCATGGCTGGTGTGGCTGGGCACTGACCTGTGCTGTTGCTTGTAGTCCTCAGCAGGAAGTGCAGAACATCTTCAAAGCAAAGCACCCGATGGACACAGAGATCACCAAGGCAAAGGTGAGTGGCCATGTGGGTACCATAAGGGGCACTGAGGTGGCTGTGCCCAGCAATTGCATCCTGATCCAGCTCCTGTTGAACAGATCATCGGGTTTGGATCGGCACTCCTTGAAGAAGTTGATCCTAACCCTGCGAACTTCGTGGGCGCTGGCATTATCCACACCAAAACCACCCAGATCGGATGCTTGCTGCGTTTGGAGCCGAATCTGCAAGCTCAGGTGAGTGCCCTGAAGGAAACAGCATGACTTGTGCAGGGTGAGTGTGGATCCTAAGGGTGGCTCAGCTGATGGAGCATTTAGTCCTGTGGCCACGCCCTGTCCTGTGTACTGTGCTCCTTGTCCTCAGGAAGGGCCTGTGTGCTGCTGCGGTGCGGCTTCCTGGCCAGCCGCCCTGCTTGGCTTCATGCTGACCACGCACTGCTGTGCCATCATGCTGGTGGCACCTCTAGCCATGTCCTCCACGGGGGGCCAGCATGTGTCAGTCCTCCGTGCACAGCCTGCTCCTCGAATAGTCATGGTTGCCTGCGAAAGAAGCTGCCAGACAGCTTTCTGGAGTGGCGCAGCAGCTGGCCTCCTCTATCCTGAGCCTGCACTGCTGCCCAGTGCTGATGTCCTGTCTGTCATACTCATAGTCACATACTGGTGGCAGCCTCTGGGTGGGGTGGGCTGGGCTGGAGGCTGCCTAGAAGGTGTGTGTGGCCCTGGTCCACTCTGACTCTGCCCTCTGTTGCAGATGTACCGGCTCACGCTGCGCACAAGCAAGGACACCGTCTCCCAGAGGCTATGTGACTTGCTGTCAGAGCAGTTCTAACCCCATGCGGGCAATCGGGTTGTGTGTGTTGTTTCCCTTCGTCTCTGCCACTGTCTTGGTGACCACACTGCACATAGCACCCTTGTCTGAGCATCTCAGCACCAGGGCCTGCACCTGCACCTCCTGCCCAGCCCCGTGGCACACATGGGACATGAAGGGGCTATTGACAGGGACCGCAGCAGGCCTGCCTGTCCGAGGAGGGACCTGGATCTGGGAAATTGAGGCAGCCTGTGGTTCAGTCTACAAATTAAAGGGAAATTAGAAGTTTGAATGAAAGTGGGAATTTTGTTAAGGTTTTATTGAGTGCTGCTGTCCCTTCCTTGGTCCCAGAAGCTGTGGGTAATGCAAGTTGCTGGAGGTGTGGGACTGGTCCTGGGCTGGGCCCTGTGTCCCTGTGTCCGGCTGTGGCACCAATGGATGCTTTCTGGGCAGGATTTTAAACCTAGGGGCTGGAAGTGTGTCAGTGTTTCAATGACTCTTGTTCTGCCCTATTGACATGACTGTCTCTAGCAGTCTTCCTGAGGGTGTCTGTGATGTTTTTACCTGCGTTTTGGAGGGTGGAGCTCCAGGCGGCTCTGGAAGGCATGGGCCCAGCTCCCTTCTGGTTAAGCAGATGTGCTGTTCCCACGGTGCACTGAGGCCTCAGGTCACACAGTTGTGGCGATGTCCCGAGTGGTGCTCGTGCCTCCCTGCTGGTGGCCCTTTCCTGTCAGTGTGGTGTCCCCTAGTGCCAGTCACAGGCCTGAGTGCTGCAGACCTGCACCTATGCAGCTGCAGCTTGAATGCGGAGGAAGGAAACCTGAGTCTGGGCAGGAAGTGACAAGGCCAGGTGAGGTGGCAGCCCTGGTGGGCTCACTGAGTTTGCGCTGGAATCTACCATGGCCTCACAGTCATCCTTGTGTGTAGCAGGCCCACAGGCCAGGGTGGAGTGGCCTCAGGAGCCACTACTGGGCCTGTACTCTGACCCGAGGTATGCCCAGGCCCAGGCTCCACGCTGGCGAGGCTGGGCAGCTTTGTCCCACACAGTTAGCCCTGGTTCTCGAGGCACAAGTGTAGCCATCCACCCAGGCGGCCCTGCCTCGTCCTTGTGCCAGCCCTCAAGGTTCCCACAGTCCCATGCTGGGGATCCTGTGCAGTTGGCTTTAGACCGTTCCATCTCTGATCCTGGCCGTGTCTGCTGGAGCCTGGGGTCTGACCAGCAGGTGGCCTGTATCCTGCCTGTGCCTGTGTGGCCGTGGCTCACGCCTCCAGGTGTCCCTGCTGATCTCCGATCGGAAAGTCCCCTGGCCTGAAGGGGCTGCTACCAGGGCCCAGCCCTGCCCTCTGCACATGCAGGGTGCCATCCTGCAGTATCCTTCTCTTCAGAAGAAAATAAACACTAGAGCAGAGCCCAGAGTGTGTGTGTGGTCTTTGGGGGGAGCATTCTGAGGGCCCTCCACCTGGCAGGTGATGTGCAGTGCCGCCCACCAGGCCTGTCCTGCCACACAGTGGCTGCCAGGAGGTGTGGGTGTGGGGACCTCAGGAAGTGATGTGCCTTTGCTCCACCAGTATGACTAGACTCCTGACCAAAGGGGCTCTGGAGGGTGCAGCGGGCATGGCTCCTTTCCAATCAGGTGAGTGTGCTGTTCCTGTGGTGCGCTGAGGTCTCAGGTCACATGGGGGCTACCTGGGGCCCCCTTTCGAAGTGAGGTCCCCTGGCCTGACTGGGTGAGGCTGGGCCTCCCTGATGTCCCCAGGCCTGACTGGTGTCTCCAGCCTGACTCTGGGCCCGGCCTGATGTCCTGTGGCCTGACTGGGTGTGGCTGGGCTGGCCAAAGTCTCCCAGGCTGACCCGTGGCGCGGGGAGCCTGGCCAGACTTCCCAGTGTCTTCCAGGCTGCCGGCTGCAGTTTGTGCTGGGCTGTGACTCCCTGGCCGCACTGCCCTCTGGAGGCCTCTGGCCCTGGTGCACTCAGCTGGGCCCGAGTTAGCACAGATGGTGGGGAAGGCCCCGAGGCTGGAGGCAGCCTCCTGTCCCACACAGCCCACCACTCCCAGGGGGCGGTGACAGTAGTGCCCATAGACCGCTGCCTCAGAAGAACCAGTTTATTTGGAATCTGCTTGTTGGCGGCAGTGGCTTCCTTGGAAGGCGCAGGTCCTGTGGGCATGGAGGGCATCTCCCACCTCCTGTCGCCTTGTGCTCTTTGCTGCATGTGGTGCTCACCCTGCACCGGTGTAAACACCACCTGATCAGCCCTGTCTTCCTTTCCTGCCCTCTGCTCTGGATCTTGAGGCCTTGCCTGGGACTAGGATTGGGACCAGAGAGGTGTGTCCCTTGACCTTTGACCCTGCCCCTCTATTCTCCACAGCGCTGGCGCCTGCACACACAGCTGTGGACCACTTGCACGGTGAACGTGAGCAGCTGGCTGGGCGCACTGGGGTCCTGGCAGGGCAGCAGGAGCTCCTGCGTGTAGGAGCTGAGAGGCCGGCAGCAGCCGCAGTGGACGTCCAGCTGCTGGGTGGTGGTATTGAAGCTGGCAAGTAGAGAGGGGTAGGTGAGCTGGCACTGGGGCAGGAGCCCCAAGGGTGCTTTCTGTCAGCTGCTGCCAGGGTAGGCATGGCCAAGCGTATGCACCCAGGGATCTGTAGGCTGCTCAGGAGCCTGGTCCCAGGCTGCCTGGGCCCTGTGGGAAGAGGGCATGGAGTGGCTCACCTGGTGGAGGAGGTGCAGACGCCCTCGCAGAGGGTCAGGGTCACGTTAGCGGTGCAGCCCTGGTGAGTGACCAACTGTTCGCGCTCATGCACCCTGCAGGGCTCTGGGGTTGAGGGGCAGAGTCAGGCTGGTAGGGCAGGTCCCAGATGGCAAGTAGGAGGGCGCCCGCCCACACAACCAGACTTGGACCCTGCTCTGCAGGGTGAAATGCCCAGGGAACCACGGCCCGCTGTACGTAGGACTCGGTGAGGCCCAGAGGACATCCACATGCTGGGGCAGGTGGTGGTGTCTAGGACTCCCTGCCACCCAGCTTGGGAAAGGGATGGGGAGCCTCTTGCCCTGCACTCCTACTAGGGCAGGTGGAGTCCAGGGTCCCTCAGGATATAGCAGTGTAGTGTGGGGCAGGGGAACAGCAGGGACAGCATTGCTGGCATGGCAGATGCCAGTATGGGACTCGAGGTTTTGAAAAGGTGAAATACAAGCTGTGTCTGGAGGTGCACATCTGTAATCCCAGCACTCTGAGAGGCTGAGGCAGGAGGGTCTCAAGTTCAAAGCCAGCCTGGGCAATTCAGTGAGACCTGTCTTAAAAGGGCGAGGATGTAGCTTAAGGGCCCTGTTTTAGACCCCTAATACTTTAAAATTAATGAATCCATAACACAAAGTTAATAAAAGATCCTGGAACAGAAATGGTACTCCGCTCTGTGTGCCTACCGAGCCGCCCTGCATGCTTGGAGCCTCCCTGTGCCCCCGCCTCCTCCCATTCCATCCCCTGCTCCCCAAGGTCACTTTCCTAGGAAACAGCAGGCTGCCTGGTCCTCTCCAGCAGCAACAAGCCCTCTGTCCTGATGGCTGGGAGATGTCCTGCCTGGGGAGCCCCAGCATGCTGAGGGGAGCCCAGCCCCAGGGAACATGGGGCAAGCCTGGCACAGCATGGTGCTCAGGAGCCGGGCAGGTCCTGTGCAGGGCAGGAAGGAGCCATGCCTGTGGTGAGTGCCCACTAGGGGGACACGGGGCCTGTCCCTCTGGGCCTGCTCTGGGTGCCTGTGCTGAGCCCACATCTACACCTGGCTGTCCTGTCCTTTGGCTCCTGAGGCAGGGACCCTGCGAGCCCTCACGTGCTCTGAGCGCTCCATGGGCTGAGTGGGGCCCTTGGAGAAGGTGACTGTACAACAGATATCAGGCAGCGTGAGTCAGGAGCAAGGCATATGTGCAGAAGCCAGCCTCGGCAGGCCCTCCTACAGGCTGGAGCTCAGCAGCTGGAGCTGGGCTTTGGAGGACAGAACAGGCTGCAGGAGGGAGAGCGCAGGCTCTGAGGGACAAGGACTGTCAGAGCCCCTGGGGATGAGATGGTGCAGCACTGTCCAGAGCTAGGAGGACACCACTTACCTGCAGAGCCAGTGGAAGAGGTCACCAGAGGGGATATCCAGGGGCTCACAGTGGACAGCACCTCCAGGGTGGTGGGTGAGGTGTGGGAAGCAACCGAGCTGGACGTAAATGTGGATGTGGGCAGCAGAGTGGTCCCAGGGTGCCTAGTGGTGAGGTTGGTGGGTGGAGAGTGCGGGGAGGATATCGTTCCCAAAGTTGAGGACACCAGGCCTGACACAGGGGCCGCGGTGGTAAGAGTGGTAACCTGCAATGTGGTGGCCTGAGAGGAGAGCGTGGAAGGCGGGGGGACCTGGGACGTGGTCCTGGATGTGGATGGAGAGTCTGTGCTGGAGGCCAGGGGCGGGGACAGGTGCACAGTGGATGTGGTGGACAGGGAAGAGAGGGCCGGTAAGGTGACAGATGGCAGGATGGAGGGGGGCAGGGGAGAGGAAAGGGGAGAAAGAGAGGGAAAGGATGATGTGGGGCCTGTAGGAAACGGCTTAGGAGGGACCATGCTGGGGGTGAGAGGGGGCTGGGAAACACTCCCCACAGAGGGTGAGGGAGTGAAGGCGGAGGACGAGAGAGGAGTGTGGGAGGTAGGTGGAGTGTCCAGGGGAAAGATAGAGGAATGTGCAGAAGTAGTGGGAGAAAGAGAAGTGGTTGTAAGGCTGGGGTGTGGAGACAGAGGGGTTCCGAGAGATGGAGGGAATGGGCGGAGGCTGGAGCTGAGGGGCACAGGAGAGGTGAGACTGTCAATAGGGGAGAAAGTGTGTGTGGCGGTGGTGGCTGCGGTGGTTGTGGTCAGCTGCGAACTGCCACTGCTGCTGATAGACACGGTTGGAGGACTATGAGCAGGGGTGGCAGAAGAGGCCATGGATGGACTGGTTGGGATGCTGGGTGTCGGAGAGGTTGGTGAGAGCAAGGGCATGGTCACAGAGGGAGACTTACTAGGTGGGGTTTGGGGCCCTGATGTGGTTGGGAAGTTGGTGGTGGTCTCGAGGGATGTAGCTGCGGTGGGCCCTGTGGGGTGTGGACTGTGGACGACAGAGAGCGTTGGAAGGAAGTGTGTGGAGAATGGGGTTTGGGCACTGCTGAGTGTGGTGGACGTGGTGAGGGCCATTGTGGTGGGGATCCCTGTGCTAGAGGTGTAGTCGGTCATGGAGGTAGCATGGGGTGACGTGGGTTGGTGTTGGTGTGTGGAGGAAGGTTGTGTGATGTGGATAGGAGAGGTCCTGGCTGTACTGAATGACAAGTGTGCCTGGGTGGTGGAACGGGTGGTGGTGGTTGGTGTTGGTGGAGTGTATGTGGTTCGTGTCACCATGGTGGCTGGCTGGGTGGTAGCAGTTGGTGTCATGGTGGAAGCAGAAGAGACTGTGTGTAGACTTGTTGGTGTGGTGTGAGAGGAGGCTGTTGTGAATGTGGCAGACTGAATGGGAAAGGAGGTCTGGGTTCTGGATGTGGTTGGAGAGTGGCTGGTGGTCATGAGGGATGTTCCTGAGGCAGTGGG